TGCTGTTCTTACCTATTTGTTTTGCTTGTAAAGCACTAACCACCTAACCACAATAGATTAGCTTTAACAAGTACTACTGCTCATGACAATCTCTTTATAATGCCATAAAAATGATGTTTTTCCTATGCTATTGTTCCTCTCCTGATCTTTTCTCTGCCAAACCAATCTGCATTGGGTACCATCATGTTTAATCCAACCTACTTCACTTGCCTATAATCTGTTATTGCATAAATTTGCAGTAAGTGACCTGAATACAACAAGGCACACATTCACCAGTTTGACTGTGCCACAGAAGGCCCAAAGTGCTGCTTCACCATGGGTCCCATCTCTTCTGTCAGGCTATGAACATGTGCAGGACAGGCAAAGGAGAAAAGCTATTCACTATCACCTCTCACCCTTCACTTCCAAGTCCAGTGGGCTTCTGTCTGCTTGCACTATTTTCAGTTCCGAAAATTTCTAGCCAAGCTATGAAGGCAAACACTGTTTTTCTTACTTACATAGAGAGGAAATACTAACTCCTATACATTACCAGCATGTGCCAGACACCATTCATTCATGTGGGCCATGTGCTCTACAGAAATGAACCCAGTACTGAATTATTCAGCAAGATGGTCTCCAAAATTCATGTTCTCCCCATTGCAATCACTCCCAGAACCTCTTATGTCACATTGGGAGCATTTCGGACGCGGCACTAAGAGAACAGTTTCAGGCAGAGTATTCAATGGATGAAAAAACATTACTTTATGCACTATTGCCCAAGCAATAAGTCTCTAAATAACCTCAGAGCAAGAAGAGTCCCAAACAACTGAAATTTGAATAACAACTGAGAAAAACCAAGAGTTGCTACTTCTAGCAAATATACTTTACTTACCTAATAATTGACAGATTTTTACATTTTTATACAAATTAAACAGTACACACATAAAGAAAATGGCAGTGGTAGGAACTCTTACTGTGGTGTGGGCAACCATCAGAAACAGCAAATCCATTAGAATAAATTTAAAAAGAGATAGACTACACTTTACATCTTAGTAACTATTTCAAACTAAATAGATGTTGCAAAATAAATAAAAAGAAATTTTAAAAAACCTACCCTTCTTTTTATACTTATTAAAGTGGCGCCGTCCTTTGCCAGTAAGCCAAAAACAAACAGAATGAAAATAAAATAATGAAAAACCCACACAAGGAGAACAGGAAAAGAAACTGCGAATAACATAAATCTGAATCATTAGAGTTCTTAAAATCAGATAAAAAGTCAAGTGATCAAACATGGTACAAATTTCTGGTTTAAAAACCCCAAAAGCCTTCAATCCAGTTAGATTCAAATATTAAACATGTTTCTTATTACATTGCATAATCAACTAAAAGTATCTGCTAAATGGCAACTTCACGGCAGCTAACATGAGCTGCTTGACTCAATTTTTTTCCTTTTACAAATCGGATGCCAGCTCTTAGGCTATGCTCATCATGATAATGTAGAAATCCCACGTGATGGTACTTTGTTTCACCTTTTCAGATTAGCTAAACATGCTTATGATGTAAAACCTAGTATTTTAAAACGCAAAATTAAAGGAGGCTCTGAGCACATTTGCAAAACAGTATAGGAGCATCTTTGGAAGCATTTTTGTTAAAGGAGTGGAAGAGTTGCACGCCCTTCAAATATCCTATCAGACGAAACGAAGTAATAGCCAACTCTGAGTCACTTGTAGGAACCCAACTCATTGTAACACTGAACTCTACAAATGGTGAAAAGCAGGACACGACAAAGGATGTCTGCTTGCAGGTTTACCACAGAACTTGGCAGCTGAAAGACCGAACTATTATCAGACATTAACAGTGGGAACACTAAGAAGGACATCTTGATATACTTGGGTGGTTATGTCATAGACGTCACAGAAAAAGAGAGATGAATATAAAAAAGCGACAACACACCAAAATAACAATCATAGCTGCATGTCTGATCCTTTAATTGATCTTTGGCCACAGCATTGCTTCTTATCAATAACTCCTACAGATTATTGTGGACAGGGAGTTACCCACAGTGTAGTTCAATTTACAGCAAATCTTCCACTGTCTTTAACTATGCACATTTTCTTTATCAGGATACATCTCCACCTAGTGAATTATCTTTTGATTATCAGACTTTCTTTTTCTTTATATGCTATGTTTTATTCACATGAGATTAAAATGTATCATTACCCTTTTTGTGTGTTCAATGGAATTCTTAATGAGGTTAAACACCAAATGATTTCAAAGGGAACCTTGCCTGAGCAAGGATGGAGCAAATCTGTTGATACTGGCTACCTGAGAACAAGTTATTTCCACAGATAAGGGTGAGAAATAACCCCCTGCAGTATTTTGCAAGAGTATTTGAGACGGTGAAATTTCCTTCACTTCAATCAGGGTATGAAAGTGTGTTTCAGTCTGTGGATTGGGCCAAAAGTTCATCTCTTCGTAATAATTTTCATGGCCTTTTCCTAGAGCTAATGGATCTGAAGCCAAATCTGTGCTGTCATAGATTTTCTTCATTTTTATCTTTTAGAAGTACACGGATGGAAACAACGTAACAGAGGGAGTACCTATGCACTGACTGCAAATAGTTTGCAGATGACTCCTCTCAAGATTCATTGCTCCTGATGCCCTCAAGATCAGCCCTGTAATAGGGGATTCACTGGTATAAAGGATCATGCTTCATATCTATCAAACTTGGGTTTCACCCAATGTGAAGATCTTAGACTGCTGTGTTATTGCATGAATCACGTTCTAAAAGCCATCTGAGGAGCTTGTTCACATTTTCTCCACATTTCTCTGTTTGAGTCTTGCCTCAAATTATTTTACAGTGGAGAACTGAGACATTGAAAGATGTGTTGCTAGGGAAATAATAATTTTAAAAAAAATCAGATGGAAAGAAAATCGTTATCCATCCACACTTGTGACAGCTTAAATATAAATTTAACATTGCAGTAAATGTATATTAAACATGTGTCCATACATGTACTATGCTGGAAAAGATTTAATTCTCTATCCCTTTTTACTGTGTTTTACCATGCATACAATCCCAATTTCTGTCTTCTGAAACTGCTCTTGTATATAACCAGCATTCAAGTAAGCAGAAAAATCTGTGGACATGAAAAAAGGCATTTCACAGTGCCTGGGAATGGGCGAGACATAGAGCCTTTACACCCTAACCCAGCCGCACACTTCTGGTGTCATAGTATCAAGATGTGCAGCTATGTGTTTGCTTGGAAACATGAGAACTCTGTCAACACACCCATTTTGCCATTTTACGTAGTTTTTCAAGCTCCTTTGTTCTTTAGAAATACCACGATGTCTGACAAGAAAACAGTATAAGCGTTGAAAGAAGCTTCCAAGAAACCATTTCTGCTTTTGAGGGGAAAGAGACAACACAGAAAGGACAAAGAAGGAGCAGAGGGAATGTACTGAGGGGGAGAATGAGCCTGACAGATACAGTTTGACAAGTACCCTATGAAAAGCTATTTATCTGACATAGCCTGAACAAGGTATTTTCCAGCATTAACACAGAATATGGTGTTACACAGAGGTTCAGTACACAATGCAGGATTGCTCCACAACTCAAAATACAAACGAGTTGATTTAATGGCCATGTATGTGTGAAGAGTGGCAGTGAAGCACACAGTCACTGCATGCATACTTTCACAGGTTAACACCACAGAAATGCATATAGCTGTCAATGTGTATTTATAGCACACTTTATCACACCATTTATTTAGTAATATATAGATATCTCCTCTATATATTTGCCAAGTGTCTTAATTTCTCAGGTAACCGTACAACATGCATGCTGTATTTGAAGCATTCTTTAACATGAGTAGGGCTAGCACTGAAATAACATCAGTAGCTTTCCTAGGCCCTCAGGGTCTTTTGTTTATTTGCTTGTTTTGTACTGGGGCACCTTCCAGAGCCAAACATGGAGACACAAAATGGAAATTACTCACTCCAGTACAGCTATAACAGCTATTCAAGGAGTATTTCATAGACACGCACGGGTATGGTGGATGCCACCCTGCCACACCAGTGAAGGAGATGGGACACAACAAACTGTCCTCACAACTGGATCATGCGTCTAAGAGTAAATAAGCACATTTCTAAGGCCCTTCAAGGCATTTTGAAAAGCTTTCAAACACCAGGCTTTCCCCCTTTGAACACCATCAACCCTAATCCCTGTGGAAAACAACTGTAAGCACATGGTATTGATAGCATGCCTAAATCTCACCCAAACTAAGAAGGAAGCAAACTGTAAAATATTACGACTGTGCGCAGGAACAGCAGGGAATACAACCAAGTCATTGAATTTAGACCACATATGTGCTACTAGTTGTATAAACTAAACAGGTCCTCCTTTATGAATCTTTTCCCTACGACAGCTATCCCAAACTCTCATAAAAACTCCGTAAACACATACTGCCAACCCATAGATGTCTTTTAGATTTCTGTTTAATCCTTGATAACCATGCATCTCCCAGTTTTAGTTGTTAAAATTTATAACTGAGATTTAAGAAAAGGTTTATTTTAAGACTTTATCAAGTCCTACTTATTTTCCTAAAAAATGTGACCTTCCTTTGGTCAAAGAGTAATTGTATATGCAAGAAATATGCTACGTACTAGAAGTGCTGCTCAGCCAAGCCAGAATATACATGACATGCTATTGATGAAGACAGTCAGTCTTCTATCGCAGACCAGTTAATGATTATCAGTGGATAATTCACCCACTTTTACAGAAAATAAATCTTTTTGGCCTTTTTTGCCTACTACCTTTGACACAAAAAATGTAGTTATGCAAGCTCAACAGCAATGTAGCAATACTTCCACTTGATCATATTTAACTAAAAGATCTAAGAAAAAAAATGCATATTGATCTATTTGAATCTAGCTTGGACCCGTGCTAACTAGCAGGCACTGTAGATCCATATATCGCAAACACACACTGTGGTTATTTGTAAACATAGGGAAAATGATACCTTTAGCACAATCTGCTCCATGAAATCCTGGAAAACAGTGGCAGACACCCGACACACATTCGCCATTCCCATGACAATTACGTGGGCAGTCTTGCACTGAATCTGAAATACAAGCATCATAGGCACATTAGTTGGTTCCTATTTAGGCTACAAATTCCTTGCTTAATTTTTCTTCAGTTTATTTTGTCTTCAACACTTAGAAGAACAATCCCTAATAATATTAGCACCGCAAAGTTCAGGTGAAGCAGAAAGGCACCAAGTTTTACAGCAGCATGAGTAAGTGTGGTGATCTAGTGATACACTAAAGTCACATAATAAGTCTTTGAGCACCATCAGAACTCAAAGTGTTCTGACAGCGCTTAAGTCCTCTGTTCCAACAGGTAGACAGGACTGCCTCTTATGACCTCTGCAGCTATGTTTGAATTCATATTATGTAGCAAACATAATGCTTCATCAGGAAAATCAACAACCACCCTTTTGCAAGGAGACTTTCGTCTTGCACAACCACTCTTCCATGTGAAACTGATTATCCCAAGGTATGTAACTCCTTTTCTTTCTACAGATATTTAAAGCCTCATTAATTAAGCTTACAGAAATATCTGCTGAACATGACAAAGAGAAGCTTTTTTGCTCCTGCAAATAGTCTTTCTCCTAAAAAAAAAATAAATTAATAAAAATGTGTAAGTAGCTACACAAGAGGATGAAGAAGAGGTCTGTAAAAACAGAAGACAAGGTTTAACACCAGAGTTTAAGTGATTGACTGAAGTGTTGATGACTTCAATAATCTGAGAAGAGTAAGCACACCAGTCTGCTGATAACATTTCAGCTGTTATTTTCCACAATTTCTGTTATTATTTGGATAATATATACAGTACTTTGCATAACAACAACAACATAGAAATAAAATTACCATTTTGAAATTAATTCTTAAAATCACTTTCATTTGAAAGGTGTTCATTTCAGTGGAACATATTTTCAACACTGAATTACCGGAATACAAATCTAATTGGAATGTTGCTACTCTTCTCTACTACTCCCTGTTGTTGTGGGAACTGTGCTCCCAAACTAAATGGCTCTGTCAGTCCCAGACACCAAACAAATAGCGGCTGTACAAGACAGAAAATGAATTTTGGATTTGGAACTAGCAGAACCATACAGAGTATTTTTCTGTCAAATTAAACTGAAAAGGGGAAAAAGATTCAAGCACAACTTCAAATCTAATTTCACAGTTGCAGGACACTGAATAAAAAAACCCCTGTAAAGCAAATTTTCAAATAGATGTCATTAGCTTGGCCTCTTGAAATGATTCATGTAAACAATGAAAAGAAAAATTGAAATGTAAAACTCAAACTTGTCTCATGAAGAAGCTTGTCTACAGATTTATTCATTATTTTGCTTCATGGCACACAAAAGCATTTTCTATGTGTTCAAAATCATGGTAAATTTAGTATTGTCTGGGAGTTAATATAATTTCTGCTATTCTTTCTCCTCTTGCACATCAGAAAAACTTTCAGCTGTCTCAGATCCTTTGATTATGAAATGTCTGATACCAGGTTTGTGCAGAAGAACCTCTGAACTGGATAAAACACTATACTTTTCTCTACATCTCAGTTCAATTACTATTATTGCACTATCAAGTAGTCTACCTGACTATTAGACCTTTGATGCTCTTGAAAGCTGTAGCCTAGACCAGGCAACTCTTGTAAGGACAGCTTAACATATCCGAAGGTTTTCTAATCACAACAGGGGCATAACAAGATATAAGCATAAATATTCTTGTTGATTTTGGAGAAGTAGAAAAAGCCTTCTGTGGGCAAATATGCAAATATATATATATCTCTATGAACATGCATAGCACCTAGTAACTCTTACAAAACCACATATAAGCTATGGAATAAAAATAATTTTTCCTTCTTAACTGAGATTAACAGAAACAATTATGTTCATACTTAATGTCACAGTATTTGCTATCCTCCTACACTCTTTAGGACTTAAGCCAACAAACCAAATATTATCCTAAAGCAAAAGGAGAAAATTAAGCTTCATATCATGAATCAGGCAAGACTAGAAAAAAACTCCAACTATTTTTCATCGAGCTTCAAAACTCACCTGGACATTTTGCAGTTTCTCTTTTCCTAAACTAACAGGAATCACGGAGTTAAACAATATAGTGCCATTTAACACTTCACCAGCCAGGACAGAATACGACATAGACTACCTTAGAATTTTTTTTTATGCCACTGTGACGAGATATTCAGCAAAGTTCATTACGTGCTGCAAAGTTCAACAAATCTTCTAATAAAGCTTATAGAATTCAGACTCGGTTTGATTTTCAACTAAATGTAACCCTATTCTTCTAACAAAGCTGCAGGCTTCACGGATCATAGGCTAGATGTTCTTCTGCTCTTGATTCCGCCACGTTGAGGAGACGACCCACTATTAGGTGAGTAGTAAGTTGTACGACAGCATACGGCTAATTAACTGACTCAATCTCTGGGGTAACTGCAAACAATAACCTCATTTGCAGGTGTCAGTTTCTTGTGCTGTCTTTCTACTATGATTAAACAGCTCTCCTGTTGGATACTATTCCACCTGGGTGCAAAAGAGCTTCTCCAGAGAAGCAAATAATAAGTATAAAAATGACAGAGCTAAGGGAGAGGAATATTAATTGGGGAATGCTTCAACCCAGACTGAACTTATACAAGTCTTCTTTTCCAGAACTGAACTCAAGATCTGTGGGAATGCTAAAATCTTAAAAGAGAAATCAGCAAATCAAAATCCGCACCCCATTACCGACTTTTTTGCACAATAGTGTTGAAAGAACAAATGCGTAACATAACATAAGGATAAACAGGCCAAATACTGAAGACATCAAGAAAGTATTAAGACCTTAAGTAAGGGAAGGTATAAACAGAGAAGAAAAATGCTCAGCTTTTGGGGATACCTACCCAAAATAACTGTACTGAAAGAGACCACTTCTTTGTCCTTGCCGTCATTGTAAAACGCCAGGTGCCACAATCCCACATCCAAGTATTGAACAAACACAGCCTCATTCTGAACAAGCGTCTGAATACTTCGTCGCTCCCGTGGGGACTCCACCACACTCCATTTCTCTTTCCCATCCAAGCGTTCCATGAAATCATACTGCATGGTAAAAAAAAAAAAAAAAACAACACAAAAAAAAACAGGAAAAAAAAAAAAAGAACACAAACAAAACCCCAAACAGACAGACCTGAATACAGAATGATACTTCAGCTCAAAATCTGACACTATATTTTCTCTTCTACCTTGTCATAAAATGGTACTTCTGAAAGATATGTCAGTGTGAAACTAATATTTACTGGATGACCGTGGAACACAGAGATTCTGTGACTCTTATCCTTTCTTAAACAGTGACATGGAATTATGCATCTTTGCTCTGCACAGGTGATCAAAAAACGTACAAATCTTATTTCTTGACAGGCTGGGTTTTGAGAAAGAAGTTGAAATCAATTATTGGACCCATCAAATTTTTAAGTTCTGACACAGCTTTCAAAGCTGGAAACCTTCAATTTATGAGAGACACAGCCTTTTCTGAGCAATCGCCTACAACACTTTCTTGCTGCAAGAGGTACAGAAGTCTCAGATGTAGCTCCAGACGTAACTGAACAGAAGCCACCAGAATGTGAAAACAAATAGGAACAGCACAAACAGGAAATGTGTTTGTCTAATGCTAGGTAACTCAGCACCCGGTAAAAATACACTGTACGAGTTTTATATCACAGAGCGAGAGCTGCTTACCTGAGTTTGTATGTGGAACAATCAGGGGCAAGTAGGATACAAAAACCAGAGGGAGCATGGAAAGGAATAACACAAATCAAGTGGCTGAAGAAATTGAACTTATATTAAGGAAAACTGAGAATTTCTGGTTGGATGGTTTCCAAGTAAGGTAGAGCATTACATTAATCTTTGGAAAAGGGATTAAACAGAGCAAGTGACTAGAGTATAAGAGGGATGGCACCATTAATGGCATGAAACTAAACAAAGAAAGAAATTTAAGATGAATGTCAGATAAGCTTCCCATCTATTAAGCTCAGTAATAGCGTCCTAATGGAGATGCCACTGCATCACACAATTAAACAGGACTGAAAGAAATATTGGTTAATCTACAATAACAAAGCAGCTGGACTAGTAGTCCTAATAGGCTTTTTTTCTGTCTTTAATGTCTGTGATTCTGGAGCTCTCAAGCTGATGCTATGCTCAACTTACTAGCTCTCACAGTCCCCATCTAAGGGAAGCCCTTAAGAAACAACAAAAACAATATATCTAATCTTTTGATAGTTGTATAACAAGTCCCCTATGAAAACGCATCTTGTTTTAGACACATTTATCTATGTAGGAGTAGATAGAGATAGATAGACATGTCTAAAGAAAGATGTATGTGTTCAATAAAATACAGTAATAGTATGTGCTTGCTTGCCAGTAGTTTCATTGCATTTCCCTCTGTTATCTCTAGCACATAGAGTCTGTGCTTGTGACAGCTATGAGAAAACATACACCTTCACTTGCTTTCAGTTTAAATAGAAAACCGTAACCTTGCATCCGAAGCAAACTAAACATCCGCAGAGGGCTGTCTTGTACACTGTATTCCACTCAGTAACAGGGAGTTCTAGCAAAGAATATACAGTACGCAATAAAATAATGAACTTTCTCCCTTCTAGTAGAAGAGACAGACAGATGAACTGATTTAACACTTCAGTGCCATGCAACACGTCTATTTAAAACTCAGGTATAAAAGCTGACCTTTCTATCCGAAATTTTGTAACTGTTATCCAAGAGTAATACAGAGTCCTTGATACACTTCGCCTTACAACAAAGGGAAAAGTAAGGAAGTGCCATTACCTTCAAGTTAAACATGTGGAACTGACACCAATATGCAGCCACAAAGGAAACCCATGGCAGGGCAGCAATCTAAGCCCAGGCCTAACAATGTTGAAAGCTGTTGTCACAGTATGTGCATCATCCACTCTT